AGCAGCGGCGGATTTCAGGGGCACTTTCTTTCATCGGGAGGCTTGGGACAAAATGGAAGGTGAATTACGGGTGTCCGGGGGACCCGGCGCGGGCGCCGAGTGGCGCTGCCAGCTGCCGGCCGGGGCTTCCCCGCGCCAGGCTCCGCACCGCCTGGGCTGCCGCCGCAGGGCCCGGAGGCGATCGCTGCCGAGGGGAGCACTTGAGCTTTCCGTGATGACCTTGGGTGCTGGAAAAGGAAAACATGGCGGGAAGCTGGGAGGTGGGACAGGGACGATGACACGCCGCGGCTGCATTTTGATTTGGAAACTTTGGAAAAAGTGTTCCTGGCTGGACCTACCACATCCCGTGTTCCACAGGGGCAAGACAAGCCCTTTGGATATCCCGTCCCCCTTTACCTAGGGACGGAGTGACATATTGGAACTAACAGTACGGGGGCTGCATGGTCACTTTGCACAGTGCCTTCTAGTAAAAGCCAGTTCTCTGAACCAAAACGCACCCATAACAGTGGTCGCAAATGTTCCCCGTTTATGGGTGTTTTCGCTTTGATCTTGGTTAGCAGCGGTAACCATTTTTTTGTTTTGTGGTTTCTTTCCTTTTTATATTTCCAAAACAAATGCAGGAGTTAAAGGGATAGCCAGGTAGGCTTAGTCACTGATTTGCAGCTTCTGTCCCCTACCCCTTCCACATGTGCCCTCCGCGTGCCCTGCCCACCTGGGCTTCTACGCCCAAGCCTCAAGTAGCTCGGGATTACAGCACTAATCGCCCCACTGTAGTCGGCTCCATTTGGAGAACTTGAATGCAAGCACCTCACAAATCCGCTCCCTTCATGCCAGTCCCAAGTTAAATGACAAGTGACAGTGAAGCCCGTGTCCTTCCCACTGTGCTTTCTGCTAGAGCCATCAGGCTTTGGGGGCGGGGCCTTCCTGTTGGAAAATGGGATTGGAATTTTGCCCTGCCTTCAAGTTCTCTAGTCCTCATTCCATTCCTCCTTCTGCTGCTTCTTTGTCTCCATTGCAGTCACGATGGCTAAAGGGGACCCCAAGAAACCAAAGGGCAAGATGTCTGCGTACGCCTTCTTTGTGCAGACTTGTAGAGAGGAGCACAAGAAGAAAAACCCAGAGGTCCCTGTCAATTTTGCAGAATTTTCCAAGAAGTGCTCGGAGAGGTGGAAGGTATTCTTTTGTTTCTTTTGCATTTCACAGTTGACCTTCCAAGTCCCCATCACCCCCCCCCACACACACACTTACATGGCTTGCTTGTCTTTAAGGTGTTGGGGCTTTAGACTGAGCCTTGGTCTGCTTTGCAGCCTTTGCCTGTAATGGTGACAGCTGCCACTTGCGCTCCAGGCCAGCCACACAGTGTGCTTCCTGTATGGAGGGATTCTAACAGGCCCCGTTCTTTGCAGACTATGTCTGGGAAAGAGAAATCAAAGTTTGATGAAATGGCCAAGGCAGATAAAGTTCGCTATGACCGAGAGATGAAAGATTATGGACCCGCGAAGGGAAGCAAGAAGAAGAAGGATCCCAACGCCCCCAAAAGGCCACCGTAAGTGACTGTAGCATTGCAAGTAACAGTTGTGAACTTTCCTCCTGCTTGGATACTTTAAAATGCCTCTACAAGTATTCATACTTTGACTTTTAAAATGCAGTGATGGTGTCGCCTGCAGTGGAGCCCAAAGTGGGTGTGAGCTGTTCATTCGCGTGCACAGCTGTGTGAAGTGTGGAAGAGCACAGTGCTGGCATGTTGCCTTTTCACCCTGATTCTGGGTGCTGGAGCTCCCTGGTTATGTTCTTATCCCACAGGGAGTAACTGAAAGCCCCCGCATTTCTAGCACAGTGAAGCAGCCTGGGAAGCTGCAACACTGTAGCAGTGCATGTGCTATCTGTTTCTGCCCTTCAGGAAGAACCGGTGATAAGAAAAAACGGGGGCTCAGGAATGTGAGGATTTGACCTAAGCTAGCAGTTTTTGGTGGGTCCTTATCTAAATTATATACTTCTTCCCCCACCTACCCCCGCCCCGCCCCAGGTCTGGATTTTTCCTGTTTTGTTCGGAATTCCGCCCCAAGATCAAATCCACCAACCCTGGTATCTCCATTGGAGATGTGGCCAAAAAGCTGGGCGAGATGTGGAATAACTTAAGTGACAGTGAGAAGCAGCCCTATGTCACCAAGGCGGCGAAGCTGAAGGAGAAGTACGAGAAGGTACGGCAACCGAGTCTGCCTTGGGTTTGCTGGGTGGCGGGTGTGTAACCCCCCACAAGGGGCCGTCTCCCCCCGCTCCCGGAAGATGCCTGTGTGGCTGGCTGGTGTCCCCATGTCAGACAGATCTTCAGGGTCCCAATCTGGCAGGCTTACAATTTTGCCTTTCTTTTCTTCCTTCCTTCCTTCCTTCCTTCCTTCCTTCCTTCCTTCCTTCCTTCCCTCCTTCCTTCCTCTTTCTTTCTTTCTTTCTTTCTTTCTTTCTTTCTTTCTTTCTTTCTTTCTGTGTGCGGTGCTAGGGGTAGAACCCAGGACTTTCACACTTGACTACATCCCCAGCCCTTTTTATTTTTTACTGAACTAGGGTCTCACTAAGTGACTGGGTCTGGGCTCGAATTTGGGATCCTCCTGCCTTAGCTTCCCAGAGTGCTGGGATTACAGGCACGTGCCACTACCCCTGATTTCCAGCTTTATTCTTTTTTTTTTTTTTTGGTACTGGGAATTGAACTCAGGCCCTCATACTTGCAAGGCGGGCACCGTGCTGCTGAGCTAAATCCCTAGCCCTTTCACTTTTACTCTTGAAGGAAACAATGGTAGGTCTGACGGTAGGGCTCAGTGGTAGAATGCCTGCCTAGCCTGTGTGTGTTTCAGTATGGCTGTTAGCATGACTTCGAGAGTGCTTGAAAATCAATGTCCCCGTTCCTTCCAGGACGTGGCCGACTATAAGTCTAAAGGGAAGTTCGATGGTGCAAAGGGTCCTGCTGCTAAAGTTGCCCGGAAAAAGGTGGAAGAGGAAGATGAAGAAGAGGAGGAGGAGGAAGAGGAGGAGGAGGAGGAAGAGGATGATGAATAAAAAAACTGTTTTTCTGTCTCCTTGTGAATCCCTTAGAGTAGGGAAGCGCCGTGACTGACCATCTCTTAGGTTAAATGCCAACCCGATTGCGATCTTTAGTCTCTCAAATGCTCTGGAAGTTGGCGGTAGTTGCCCACCGTGGCCGCGGGGGTACGGAACGCTGTGAAATTGTATCAAAGCTGTACATATTTCCAGACATTTTTAAACTGAAAGGCACTCTGTTCTCCTCGCTCTGTGCACTTTGCTCTTGCTGTGAAAAGGCATTTGAAGATGTCTCTGGCGTTTGTCTTTTCATTTGTAAGGTGGTGTGAACTGTATGGTTATTGGCTAGAAACCCTGAGTTACCAACTGTACATATCTCGAGTTGTAAAAAGAACAAAGCACCCCGGGCAAACCCTCGATGCCCCCTGCTCGGCGCTGAGGCTGTGGGACAGATGCCACCGGGAAGGGACCTTAGATCTGTTGTCACCGTGGCTATGGCGGGCATCCAGTTAGCTTCTGTATATAGTGACCTAGCATCCTGCTGCCCCATCTTACCTGGGGTCCGAGAGGGTCAGCTGGCATGAGAAGTGTTTGGATTCATTACTGTTTCGTTTTGTTTTGTTAGTTAAGTGCGGTAGATGGAAACTCTGTTTCCAAGCAAACTGTGGAACTCTTCATTGGTGAAGAGTCAGTGAAGGTTCAAGAAGGTTCTGTACTTAAACACGATTTGCAACGTTGTGTTATTTTTTTGTATGTTTAGAATGCTAAATGTTTTCCAAGTTAAATAAACAGTATTACATTTTTCAAAATCTTCTCTATGATAACAGTACAGATTTCTGACCCATGGCAGTCTGGCTAGAATCACCTGCTACCCATGACCCTGCTAACTCTTGTCTTTTTTTGAAATTTAGTTTGTGTGTGTGTATGTTGAGACAGTCTTGCCATGCAGTTCAGGCCGGCCTGGAACTCACAGCGATGCTCAGGCCTCAGCTTCCCGAGTGCTAGGATGACAGGCATGTGCCACCACTTCGGGCTGTGGTGTTGAATCTTGAGAGCTTTTCCTTCAAGTTCCCTGTTGGGAGGCTTGCAGGTCCAGCAGTAGCATCCCTCACCCAGTCAGGTGCTGCGCGTGCAGGTCTCGGTCACGGTCACAGCCGTCGTCTCACACCCATGGCCCATGCTGGAAGTCTGTCTGAAAAGCTTTCTGCAGTTCTCTCATAAGCCCGTGGCTGTGAGGTCAGCCCAGAGGCACTTGCTCCTGGATCATCTTGTGTGTCATGTCTGTGTCTTTGTCACTCTGCATCCTGGACGCTGCTGTTGTGCGACACAAGGGATGAACAGGCACATGAGTAAGAGAGGCTCTGCCTGTGCTCCTGAAGGGATGTTTCTTTGCTAGAGGTGCCCCTGTGCTATAAGTCACCATGCCAACCATGGGAGGGCAAAACCACTTCAAAGGGGTGACTTATTTTAAACTTGTGATTCCCCCTGTCTCAGCCTCCAAGTGCTGGAGTTAACCATGCCCGACTAATGGGGTAAGTCTCACTGTGTAGCCCAGGCTGGCTGTCTCTTACCTCACAGGGATTGACCTGCCTCAGCCTCCCAAGTGTTGAGCTGACAGATATGCACCCCACGCTTGGCCATTATTACCGTTTTGGGGAAGTTGATGCCTTCGGTTTCTGTAATGAACTTTCTTAATCAGTCTTCCCCGAAGTAATCAGCGGCCGTCTGCAATCTGAGGCTTGCAGCCTCTGTGGTGTGGTTGATTATAATCAGGGAGAGTGCAGGGCCAACTCCACTGTCACCCTCCCCCGAGCTGCTAGTGTTTAAAGGGACAACAGGGGAAGTTGCCAAGGGCCGGATGAGCTTGGAGCCAGGGCCCAGTGCTGAGTGGCAGCAGCAGAAGCAAGCGCTGCTGATGTGCTGCTGCTTGATAAGGGCTGCTGGGAAGAAAAGCGAGGCTGGAAACAAGACGGAAACTGTTCTCGGGTGCTGCAGTCCTCGCTGATACAGTCCTAAGAATTTCCAAAGAAAACTTGCATAGCATGTACATGAATTCAGCAAAACATGAGTCTGCCAGAGAAATACATGAAAGTGAGTGCTTAGCATGGACCACCCAGAAATACAAATTAAAAATTGGGGAATGTGGTTCAGTGGTAGAGTGCTTGCCTTGCATGCAAAGGCCCTGGGTTCGATCCCCAGCACCACACAAAAAAAAGAAATAATAGAGGTCTGACTAAACCCAAATTTTGCTGGGTGTGGTAGCACATGCCTGTAATCCCAGCACTTGGGAGGCGGAGGCAGGAGGATTGTTCCAAGTTCAAGACCAGCCTGGGCTACAAAGTGAGCTCAAGACCAGCCTGAACTGCAGAGACCCTGTCTCAAGACCAGATCCCCCAAAATCGAGGATTATTCAGCTATGAAGAAGGAAATTTGGGTGGATCTGGAGATCATCTTGTTGAGTGAAATAACCCAGACTGGAAGAGAAGGATCACATGTTGTCCCTAATGTGGAACCTAAGAAAGTGGAAGGGAGACAAGTATTTTTAAAATTTTTTTAGAGACAAGGTCTTGCTATGAAGTTCAGGCTGGCTTTGAACTCAGTGTATAGCCCAGGCTGGCCTCAGACTCCTGGGGATCCTCCTGCCTCAGCTTCCCAAGGGCTGCGATGGCAGATGTGCCCCACCACATTTTACCCGGAAAGCAGGTAGTGGGGGACATGACCAAATATACATTAACCCCTCAAATGTGAAATTAGGGGGCATGGCAGGGCATGGGAGTTGATAAAGGGCTCCCAGAAAGAAAATAGTTGCATTTCTATAAATCAATAACGAGCATGTGAAAATGAAACTATGAAAGCAATTCGATTTCTAATAACATCAAAAAGGGCCAAATATTTAGGAATAAACTTAATAAAAGAAGTATAAAACTTAGCTAAATGTGGTAGCCTACAGTTACCCAAGAAGGCTGAGGCAGGAGGATAGCGGCAAGTTGGATACCAGCCTGGACTCTAGTGAGTTCAAGCCCATCCCGAACTATGTAGCAAGACCCTGTCTCAAAACAAAACAAAACAAAACAAAGTCTGAGGAGCTGCATTTCTTGACTTCTACAAAATTAGAGCTGCTTGCAACAGCTTGCTGGTGAGGGGGCAAAACCCCTGAGAATATCACCCCGCCAGGGTCCTGGCCTCTGCCACCTCCCAAGGTGTGCCAGAGTGGCTGTGGAGGGGATGGCGAGCACTGCCACCAGGTGTAGTAGTGAGCAACTGTCATCCTAGCACTTGGGAGGCTGAGGCGGGAGACTCGCCACCAGTTTGAGGCCAGCCCGGATTACACAGCAAGACCTTATCTCCAAAAACAAAACAGAAACAAACACACACACAAACCCCCCAAACAAATGCTCAAATACAGGAGAGGCCTGGGTGAGCTGGGTGACCCATGGGCGCCCGGGACATCTACCGTGCAGCCCAAGCTCCTCTCTCCCCATCTGCTGAGCCATCTGCAGCCCCAAACTCCACCTGTCCTGGCTCTTTCCTTTCAGGCCTTCAGTCTCCAAATCCTGCCCGTTGCTTTTTATTATGAGACAGGCTGGGCTTGAACTTGCCACCTTCCTGCCTCAGCCTTCCAGAGTGCTGGGGTGACAGGCAACTTCTTTGTGTGTGTGTGTGTGTGTGTGTGTGTGTGTGTGTGTAGTTAAGGACTGAACCCAGGGCATCATGCATACTAGGCAAGTGGGGTTACTCCCTCAGCCGCGGGTAACCTGTGTAATAAGAGCACCCAACATGCTCTCAGCACACTTCTGTCAACTGGTCCAGTATTTGTTACCCAAGGTCCTTCTGCTGCTCATCAGATCCCTACACTTAGCCACCTTTCATGGCCACAGCTGTCCCCTTATCACCTGCCCATTAGGGTGGCTGTCCTCAAAAAGACCGAAAAGGACAAAGAAGGCACGGTGTGGAGAATCCTCTGAAAGTTGCAATCAGAGCTGCACCATGTGCTTCCGAGGGGGGGCTGTTCACAAAAGCCAAGGTACAAACACTGTGTGTCCTTCAGTGAACAAATGGGTAAAGAGGACGGGAGAGTTTGGTCCCTGGTGCCTGCACACACACCCATGTGTGCACGTGTACACACACCTGGTATATGTGTGCATTTCGTGAAGTCCTATTCAGCCTGTCTTTTGTGGTGACATGGGTGAACTTAGAGAACACTAGGTGAAGGGAAATAAACCGGGCACAGGAAAACTGCATGATAACTGGGCGTGTTGGCACACACCTGTAATCACAGCACTCAGGAGGCTGAGGCAGGAGGATTGCCAAGAGTTCGAGGTCGGCCTGGGCTACACAGTGAGTTCAAGGGCAGCCTGTATAACATAGAGACCCTGTTTCAAAAAACAAGACAAAGCAAAAGCTCTGTGTATATCTCAAAACATCGTGTTGTACACCTCTTTTCTTTTTTCTTTTTCTTCCTTTTTGTTTGTTTGTTTGTGACAAGCTCTCACTGTGGAGCCCAGGTTGGCTTTGAACTTGGGGAGATCCTCCTGCCTCAGCTCTCCTGAGTGCTGAGATGATAGCAGTGCGCCACCACGCCTGGTGAGATCCTCCTTTACAATAAAATACATAAAGGACTGGAGTGTAGCTCAGTGAGAAGGCCCTGGGTTCAGTCACCATTACGGGAAAAAAACAAAACAAAGCCAAAAAGAGGCCGGAGGGGAGGTGGCTTTGGAGGGATATGTGCCTAGGCTGAGCATGCGTAGGAAGACCAGCGGGTCCAAGCGCCTGCACACCCCAGGTATGCGTGTGCAGCTGAATCCACATGTAGTGTGCTGTTGGTCTACACAGCTGGCTGCCCTCTCCTGGTACAATCTCCAGTTTCCAACATTTTTGTTTATTTTGTTTTTTTTGGCACAGAGTCTCAGTTCAGGCTGGCCTTGAATTTACTTATGGAGATCCTCCTGCCTCAGCCTCCTGAGTGCTGGGATTATGGTTCTGCGCCACCACATCCGGCTTGCAATATGGATTCACCAGACAGTTTCAAGTGCTGGCTGTCTAGCAGTTTTACACACCCTCAGTTCCTGTCCCCTGGGCCCTGCCTCAGAGGGCCTTGCACGGAGTTGTGCAAGGCTTGGCTCTGGGCTCAGCAGACCAAGGCAGAAGTCCTAGTGAGACAATGACATGACAGAAGCCACCGTCTGCTTGGAATCTGATATCAGAATGGAAATCGTGTACCATTGCTACTTTCAATTCATTAGAATCAAGTTGCTGGGTGTAGTGGTGCACACCTGTCTCCCCAGCACTCGGGAGGCCAAAGTAAGAGGTTCTCTGGCGCTCGTGGCCAGGCCCAGAGTGAACAAAGCCCCTGAGACACAAGCCTTCCCCACACAAATGGAGTGTCCACTGCCCCGTGCACACAACAGCCTGGTCACACAGCCAGCCCAAGGTCCAGCTAGGGAAGTGTGAAGGTTCTTGGCTGTGTATTTGCTACACTTCCATGGCCAGGTTTGCATTACTTCCTATTATATCGTACTGTTATTGCTTCACGATCACACATCGTCCCTGGACTTTCTACTTGATTTTCTGAAAGCCACACATCTTCAGGCTTTACCTCAAATGGAATAGAAGCTCACTGTCCTGTATGTCAAGGTTTCCGTGACTATGACTGTCCCTGGGCTCCGAAGAAAGCACTCCTTGCCAGGTCCTGCGTCCCAGAGGGACTCTTGTACTCTCTCCCAGGGTCTCTCCATCACACGGCATCTATATGGACCCAACTCTACCGTTCCTGGGTGTATAGCCAGAGGAATTAAAGGACACCCTCAGA